AATCCTCAAGCAGAGACTGACTCACTAAAAAAGATCCCAAAATAGTGAAAAGGGACATATACTTTATATGTTTTTTTCCTTACTATCATTTGATTAGACAACTTTCTTTATGTTGTCTTGTTATCATCAAATAAGGGGAGATTGTTGATCCTCTCTCTCAGTGATTTGATGATAATCCATTTTCACTTATACGATGTATTTATGTTTCTGTATTTTCAGTTCCAGCGATCTTCACTGAATCTGTTCAGTGATCGCTGAAGAACTTGTATTGTAAATCAATCAGAGACAGCGATACTTCAAGAAGACAACACTCACACCAAAGAACCTTCAGCCAATGTCGAAGACTGAAATTGAAGATTAGAGACTGGTGAGTACGTGATCTGAAGCGGTACTTAGTGATTACAAGCCTATCTACATATGTGTGAAAACTGCTCAAGCCTCAGCGAATGCTGAAGAGACCTCCAGGTTATTCCAGCATTCAGCGATCAAAGGAAGCTTGCCAAGCACGATTGTTGTTGTCTTGTCATTATACACACAAAGGACAAACCCATACCTTTCTAATTGTTAGTACGGTACGGAGCTGACTAGTTGACTCTATTACCCACCAACTTTAGATAAGGATGTCTGCTCATGAATAGGCCTTTTGTACTATTCACTGTAGCAAAGGACAAGCCTTCCCCTTAAGGCTTGACATGCACTCTAACCCTACCATATTGCATTAAATGTGCATTTAATGCAATGGGTATAAATAGAAGTGTTTCTTCTCCATGCAGAGTGCGCGCGCAACACACTCTCTTAACCTAATTATTACATTGAGCATTCTTGAGCTTAAGTAAAAGAACTTTCCTCTACATCATATCTTTTCTTATTTGCTAAGATTCAGTATGTAAACAAAGATTGTTTAGATAGGTTTTCTTACCTATCTTTCTGCAAACAATCTTGTAAAATTTGTATTGATCTTCTCTTATCAATATACATTTTAATTTGAAAATATTGTGTTTGTATTCATCCCCCCTTCTACAAACTGTTATACATATCTTGTAGACCCTCAAGGGACCAACAAACACATACTTCATTCACAAGAAATACATGTTTATACACCATTCAGGTCCCATAGTACAAGAATCTACCGTACATAATACATGGTTCAAAAATTCAAAATACATTTCTTGTACTAATCATCATTCTTCTACCAAAAACTATATGCACCATGGACATATCTTCATACAGATATGCATACAGGAAATATTACATTTTCTCCTTTACTTTATCGTCGGCACCTCCTGCAATACATATTTAAAATTACAAAAATGAGGGTTAGACCGGGAGGTCTAATGAGATCCCTTTTTCTATGTCATTGCAGGGTGAAGATAACCAAAACTTTATTTAAAGCAACTATTCATATACGACAAATATATGAATATATAACTCATAATACTCATACCTTACCAATTTCCAAAGCCAATTACTCGGCTATTCAAATAACATATCCAAGCCAAATAAGTTAGACCTTCCAAATTCACATAATGTTACTTTAAACCTTTTTAATCAGAAATAAGGTTTATTCTAAGCTTCAGGTCATAAACCTGTTATCATCTTTTCAATAACATCCAGACTATGATTTCCAATAAGAACCCTGATCCTAAATCTTTAAATCATAGAGAAATAAAGATTCCAGATCGCAGTAATCTTTAAAAGATATAATAGTAAGACTTATATCACATATTACACATACAAATGCCACCCTTATATCCAAAGTTACACCTCTCCTTGATATGCCACCCTTATCTCATGGTACACATCTCCTTGATATGCCACCCTTATCCCACGGTACACATCTCCTTGATATACCACCCTTATATCCTCATCAAATCTTTTACAAAATATTTTCAATTAAAACATATCGAAGACGTAAATATCCTAATGAAATATCATCAGTTCAAAATCATCTTTATCAAAATTTTCATTTTTTATCATGATAAAAGAATATTATAATAATGATTTATTTGATCAAATACTTTAGTTTAAATAATACAAATTCGGTCAACCATAAAACTTTGGTCAACTTGGGCTTGGTCGGACTTCACCTCCGGTCAAGTCTTGGCCGGAGTAACAAACCGGACAACACAAGATTACTTGTCCGATTTACCAATCCAGACAACTTTAAAACAAACCCGATCCAGCTTTGTTCGGTTTACATATACAACATTTTCCAACACTTTTCAAGTCCGATCTTCACTCAGTCAAATTACATAATTCCACTCAAGGCTTTGGTCGGTTTATGAATAAATCGGACAACATACCAGTCGAGTTATATCTAATCCGAACAGCCTTTGATCGTATTCCTACTTCTCCGTTTAAAACATTTATCCGCTTTACAAAGATAGAATCCCATCAACATATTAATCAATACTATGATCGATTTCCTCTAAATCGGATAACACTATGTCCGATTTATACTGAATCCGGGTGATAGCTAATAACACAATTTCAATACTTAAACCAAGAGAAATTACTTTTCAAGATAAAATATGATGAATAAAGATACTCACCTTAAAATTTAGCAAATGAATTCAACTTCAAGAATCCAGTCAGTAAGTAATCCGGACAATATTTTCTCTCAATTCACTCTCCAGTTTTAAAATAGCCAAGAAGTTTGAGTGAAGGCATCACTCTCATTTATATACCCCTCCGCTAACCCTTTCCCATGCATGCCCATCACATACATGCACACTTATTCCATGCATACCTATTGATTATTTTTACATGTACATATTCATACACAAATAATTTTCATGTACCACACACCCATATTATGCATAAAATTCACATACTCGCATGATCAAATATACCAATTTATCATGCTGTCATGTAAACATATAATAGACAATCACGTATTTAGTTACCTCATGTGATAACCAAGACCTGGTTATCACAATTTTTATTTGGTTAGAGGAGCTATTTATTCTTTAGAAAGTCAAAGTTTCTTTTGGTATGACCTATTAATATTTTTGCATCTTGTTTATAGATTCCAAGCAACTATCATGTTTTGTGGATTCTTTTTTATTTAGAGTTTATATGATTAGTTTGACTTTGAATTCTTATGGATTTGAGAAATTTGGATTTTGATTATGCTTTTTGTTCATGGCTAGACACCATATATCCTGATTCATGGCTAGACACCACATTATGATTCCTAGCTTTAAATATTTGACATCAAGAACTCAAACAGGTTTTGATCTTGAAAAAACACTAGCTTTGATGTCAAAGTTTAAGAACATCTTCTTGAGAATTAGATAGCCATATAACAACCTTACACACATCAACATTAGCAACAGCTCCATAACCATGACAAAGATGCACCACATATTACTTTTACATTACACATTACATCATAATATGAGTAGATCAATGACCCTCGATATACCTAAGTGTAGTTATAGCATAAAAGCAGGATCTTTAAGTATGTGATCTGAATTTAACGTCATTTCTATTGTGTAATTATAATTATTATAATTTTGAATATTTGTAGTTCTTATTCTTATTTTCAGATGAATCCATACTGGCTTACATGATGGTGTTGCATATTTATTTATAGCCATAATGTTATTGTTACGCTCTTATAATTGAAAGGATGAAAATGATGTAGGGGGAACAAAGTTTGCAACGTGCTTTATTTGTAAAGAACAAGGACATTTGAGCAAGGATTGCCCTAAAAAAGCTCACAGAATCTATCAAAGGTATAATTTAGTGTTTTTGCCTTCATTGTGAGTGTGTTGGCTAAGGAGAAGTGATGATTTCGACTTCTTTGATAGAATTTGAATATTTCTTTTTGAGTTTACGTTAATATTGTTGTTCCATAGGGAGGTTGTTGCAAAATATGTGGCTGTGTGACACATTTTGCTAAAGATTGTGCAGATAAAGACATTAGAAATTCTGGCATGTACATTGAATCCGGCAAAAGGTGTAAGAATTCTTCACCAATTGGAAAGAATTGTGGTCTATTTTGGAGTTATTGGTTTGATATGATATTTGATTCAATACGTGAATGTGTTATCCTGGATGATAGCAACTGTAATTGAATCGATGGCGAGAGGGAAAGTGGTTAACTTTGTGGTTAAAATTAAAACTTCAAATTCTCTATGGATGCAATTTTTGAACTCTTTAATAAAAATTTATCTTCCAAAACAATCCATCATTGCTATGGAGCATCATATAACCCTTTTTGGTTGTATATATCATCTCAATTGTGTTTCTTGATTAGTAACAAGTCTTCTTTTTCAAAGATAGTAAGCATTGTTTATTATGTTCCTTGAATACTACGATCATTACCAAATGTAAAGACTGTTCTTTACTTTCAATTTTAGTTGGTGGAATTACATTTTTATTTTAAATTTGATAAGCTACTAGGGGTCGTTTACCAAACACTTACCCGGTAAGTGCTTACTAGTAAAATTTAACACTATTAGTTACTTACCGGGTAAGATCTTAGTCCATCAAAACTACATTATATGCAACAATTCACCCAGTAAACGTTTATCGTGTTAAGAGTCGTCGCCCTGACTTACCGGGTAAGACTCATGGTTCTTGTTTCGTTCTTACCGGAAAAAATTCTTAGTCTTTACTATATTCATCCGGTGAGGTAATGTGATTTGATAAGCGCTTATCCGGGTAAGTGTTTAGTTAACGGCCCCCAAATTGTGGTAAATTTTTCTCTTCAGTTACATACCGTCGTATTGCACGGATACACGCCTAATATATATATATGAAGTTATATAAATTTCGTATGTATGTATGGGTGTCATGGCCTCCTTGTATTAACACCCAATCAGTACGCGCCAGGTTGGAAAGTATGACACTAAATCTGACGTCGCTAGCTCTGATTCGTCCACATCATCCTACGCTTCCACCGTGCACTCTCTCCACTTGTAACACGACGCTGACCCAAACGTAATTACTTATAAACCCCCAACTCTCTTTCTCTTTCTATCTCTAGTCTAAGACGAGCGATCTCACTCTCTCTGCCCATGGCGACACACAGGTTAAACCCTAGCGGTATCGCTTTTCTCTCCCTACTACTCTTCATCTCGATCGCTTCTGCTAAAGTSTTCTTCGAGGAACGTTTTGACGGTAATYCCTTTCTTTCTAATTAARCTGCATTTTCACTATGAATCCTTTTTGGCGTTTGATTTAGTTGGATATTAATCTACGATAGCTGGATCTATTAGGTTTCGGTWAGTGGAATGYAAATTTGTAGTTGATCGTTGAGATAAATTGGTACAAGAATCGAGATTAATGTGAATTTGTCTCATATGAACTTGTTTGTAGGCTTGAGTAACTTAGTTTTAACTTGATCTGTCCCTGTGAATTGATTCTGTTACCTTTTAGTCGATTCAAGTCTCTTACGGTATTGTGAAATTGCTGTTATGTGCAATCATGAATGTCTGTTGTTCTGATTTGAATTATCCAGTATATTATTACACTGTTAGGTGCGTTGGAATCATTTTTTTATATACACTGTTACCATTTAGTCGATTCAAGTCTCTTACGGCATTGTGAAATTGCTGTTATGTGCAATCATGAATGTCTGTTGTTCTGATTTGAATTATCCAGTATATTACATTTGGCTAGACATTAATTTATGTTTTGACTCTGGGTTTTGTGATGGCAACAATTCTATATCCATGTCATTTGAAAAATTGACAGTTTTAGTTCAAGCAATTTATCAGCTTCAGCATGTGGCTTGTGCAAAACTTAATCGCCCTATAATTTGACAGTTTTAAGAAAAAAAAACATACAGCTGACTGATTCGGAATTTATCAACTTTCAACATGTAGATTGGGCAAAATATAGTATAAATTCCACTTTCATGTGGATTCACTATTGCTTGGCTGCTGTAAATTTACATCTTTAATTTGATGATATTTCATCAGATGGATGGGAAAGCCGGTGGGTTAAATCTGATTGGAAGAAAGACGAGAACATGGCGGGGGAATGGAATTACACCTCTGGTAAATGGAATGGAGATGCCAATGATAAAGGTAACCTTTTACCTCTTTGTTTTTAAAAGGCACTCTGAATAAAATGGATGTTTTTTAAATTCATCAACTGCTGACCCAACTTTCTGGTAATAGGTGTACAGACCAGTGAAGACTACAGGTTTTATGCCATATCTGCTGAGTACCCTGAATTCAGCAATAAGGATAAAACACTAGTCTTCCAATTTTCTGTCAAGCATGAGCAGAAGCTTGACTGTGGTGGTGGCTACATGAAGTTGCTTAGTGGTGATGTGGACCAAAAGAAGTTTGGYGGCGATACCCCCTATAGGTTGGTATTTTRCAGYRTRCAGRCCTCCTRTCTGKAAAGTTTYATCTTGTTATTATTGCTCATAGTTTGATAWGWTTGTTGACTGCAGTATCATGTTTGGACCTGATATCTGTGGGTATGCCACAAAGAAAGTCCATGCAATTCTTACATACAATGGGGAAAACAAATTGATCAAGAAAGATGTTCCTTGTGAGACTGACCAGCTTACACATGTTTATACCTTCATACTCCACCCTGATGCAACCTACAGTATCCTCATTGACAATGAAGAGAAACAAACAGGAAGCTTGTACTCTGATTGGGATCTTCTCCCATCAAAGCAAATAAAGGACCCAGAGGCCAAAAAGGTACTTTCATACAAATGATTTGTTTGTGCAATTATAGGAGTAATGCTCACTCACTCTCACATTGATGATGACAGCCTGAAGATTGGGATGAGAAGGAGTTCATTGCCGACCCTGAGGACAAGAAACCAGAGGTAGTAAAATAACTATATGTTCTGATTTTCTCCCTAAGATCCAAATGAATCTAAAACTGAATGTTTTCTCTACTTATCAGGGTTATGATGACATCCCAAAGGAGATTGCAGACCCAGAAGCCAAAAAGGTAATGCATTTTTCATCTTACATCCTGGTTTAATCCCCTATTTGTTAATTCCTGATTAAGATGTGCTAAATTTTCAGCCAGAAGACTGGGATGATGAGGAAGATGGCGAGTGGACAGTCCCAACTATTCCAAACCCTGAGTACAAGGGTCCATGGAAGGCAAAGGTTTGTGAACTATTATTTTCAATGCACAACCCTTTTCATGCTAATAAGGAACAGTTGTTTCATAAGAATGTTTTCCCCTTGACAGAAAATCAAGAACCCCAACTACAAAGGGAAGTGGAAGGCACCTATGATTGACAACCCAGGTTTCTGTCCTTAGATTTTTGAAGTCAAAGCACATATCTGATTCTCTCTTGTGTGAACTAGTTTTCATTGACTGTGATTCTCTTTCTCTTACTTTTAGATTTTAAGGATGACCCTGATCTCTACGTTTTCCCCAAGTTGAAGTATGTTGGCATCGAGTTGTGGCAGGTTAATGCTATTATTATTATTTTTTGCATTTCTAGTATGGATATTGTGCTGAAATCAGTGTTATGCTTCTTTTTCAGGTAAAAGCTGGAACTCTGTTTGACAACGTGTTGATATGTGATGATCCTGAATATGCGAAACAATTAGCAGAAGAAACCTGGGGAAAACAAAAAGATGTATGCTACTTGTATATCTATAAGCTTACTAGTTTCTATTAGCATCTTTTTGTCCTGATTATGACTATTATCCTGTTAGGCTGAGAAAGCGGCATTTGAAAAGAAACAACAGGAGGAGGAGGTATGATAATAATTGCATTTATCTTGGGGAAAACACTTTTGAAACCAAGTTGATGTCTCTAAAAGTATAAGATGAAATAATGTAAGAGGTTTGTTTCTTTTTTTCAGGAGTCAAAGGATGATCCGGTTGATTCTGATGTAAGTTCCCCCCCTCTCTCTGTATTAGAGAACACTCTAATTATACAAAATTCACTAATATCCCACCTGCTGTTTAAATTTGAACAGGCGGAGGAGGAGGAGGAGGAGGAAGGCAATGACAGTGATGATGCGGAAGCGGAGGATGATGAAAGTGATATTAAGGTAAGAGTGGAAATACCATTTCATTTATTCAAACAGACTGATTCTAATCTCTCTTCCCTTTTTCATAATGTGCAGGATGAACTATAGGTGAGATGTTGAGAAGGGATTTTGTTTTGTTTTTCTAGACCTAGTGGTTGGAATTGGAATAGGAATAGATAGATATAAAACAATTTAATATATAAAACTAAGGGACAAGATTTGCATGGAGATATTGAGTTGGTATTTTTAAGTTTAACTCTGTAGATTTGGTATTTGGTATTTTTCCAACATTGTAAACCTTTTTCAACAAGATAACCATACCAAATGCTTTATAGATGAGGATCGTGTGAGAAGCGTAAGAAGAGATCCTAACCCTTGATCACTTCTAAATTCATGGCCACCTATGTTTTTTGGCACTTTAAAAGGGAATTGATCCGGTGCAACTTGGTGTAACTCATTAATGTTGACATTCGATTAGGATTGTGGAGAAGTTTTTGATATGATTAGGTTGGCGGCATAGTCCATGTATACGAGGTTCGTTAGGATGACAAATGCCCATCTCGTTACAAATTCAATTTACTTGTCTTCAGTGCTAGCTAGCAGGCAGTGTAGAGTAATCTGCTTGAATGATATTATTGTTTATATGTCAACCCATAATCAGCATGAGCAGGTGGTGCAAAACTCGAATGATATTGTTGTTTATACGTCACATTCACAATAGAAAGGGGGGTTTTTCCCTCCATGCCGACAAACTATAAGAGCTTGTGAACAAGGAAATCTTTCCATTTGCTGGTTACCACATGTGAACGTATGTCGAAAATAATGGACAATATGTATATTTCCGTCAGTTTCATTCATTCCTAACTTGGTGACAAACTCGTATAAAATATGATAGGGCACGATTGTTATGTTTAACAAAGATCCGCCATATGCATGGTCTTCTCTGCCTGTGATTTCCCCCCTAAATCTCGTGTCATTTCTATTCCTTACTTTAGATGCATCAAGTTGTTCAGTTTATGGTTGTTTCGTTTCTTACGTTGAGAATATTAAATTTCGTCTTTCCACATTAGGAACAATTTATAGTTGGCTTTGGTGTTTTGGGCAGTTGACTTGTTATGCTCAGTTATGATTAAGGATCAACTGAATGCTTGTTTCATATCCATTGTTGTTTGTTTTGATGGAAAGAGAGCACAAGATCCATGGAATATCTTTTTCTTTTTCCCCCAATAACCCTAAAGACAAATGGATAAGGAGTTATATAATCCAAATGCACTAAAATTTATTACAAATCTAAAAAGACTCAAATTACAAGAAATGAATCATTCATACATTATTATGTTTATACACATTCGATCATAGGGTTGGGTTCCGATAAGAAGGCAAGTTATAATAGGAACTGTAAGAAAGAGATCTTCATCCTTGAATCAATCCTAATTGAATATCAACATTGATGAAGTGTATCGAGATGCACCAAATCAATTCTCTTTTAAAGTTCAATTCATGAGTGGAAATGAAATTAGAAGTGATCAAGGTTCAGATCTTTTCTTGCACTTGTCACTGCAACTTCCCTTCTCACATGAACCTTCGTCTTCCGATCACGTGTACTACATTCGAGAAAAACACACAATCCTCAGTCTCTAAGAGGTTAAAGTGCGAATTTTGACCAAATTTCCTAGTTACAAGCAATTGATTTGCTATGTTCAATTATGGTTATTGTGTTGGTTTCCATGTAAGCCTCTGAGATCCTCGGTTATGGGCTCCCATGGGAAACCATACATATCTGAAACACTTGTCCAAGAAGTCGGTTCATGGATAGCAGTTCCATGATTAATATTTATCTGATCAATGCTCGAAATTCCTCTGTTTACGTACTCTATCGAATTGATTTCTCTGGACAATGTTTTCATTTGTGGTTGTTGAACAGGAGTCCATAGTTCATGTCGATTGTATGGTAAAAGATGATTTTGTACCCCATTGGGAATGGCTGGAATTCTTTCAGACTGACTGTTTCCTATTTCATAGTTCTCGTTTGGGTGCCTTGTTGCACCTTCGTCTGAATATGGGAACCTCATAACTATCATAAGGAAATAATGGATCAGGTTACACAGTTTGTAGATGTGAGAATATGTAGAAGGCAAAGGATCGTGTGAGAAGGGAAGTAACAGTGAGAAACGTAAGAAGAAATTTGAACTTTAGATCATTTTTAATCTCATGCCCACTTATGAACTGTGCTTTAAAAGGGAATTGATCCGATGAATTTCAAATGCACCTCATTAGTATTGATATTCAATTAGGATTGATCCATGGGTGGAAACATAATCTTACATTTCTCACCATAATTTCCCTTCTCGCTAGAAGCCAACCAATATGTGGAATCTCATCAGATTACTCTCCAAAAGAGTCTTTCAGGAAAGAATGAGGGGTTCCAATATATATATATATATATATATATTGAGCTAAAACGTGGAACTTTAACAGTAGTAAGCAACTCTAATATTGCTATTTATATAGTTGTACCTGGCATTGGTAAATTGGAGCCAAGAAGATGAGTTGGTGGTGGATGATGGACGTTTGTGTAGGAGTAATCTAAGCATGAATTGGAGTGATGGTAGAAAAATGGGTAGTTGTTGATTGGAAAAGGTTGTTGGCTCAAACCGAATAGTCGATGGTCACACTGAAGAAGCTTTTCATATTGCTTATCAAGGACTCCAGGAGGAAAGATGATGGAATGTCGTCTGCAGATGGATGCTTGGGCTTGTGTGAAATCAGTCGTCTGTTTCCATTGTGTATGCTTTCTTGGCTGGGGATTAATCTCTCGACCGAACTGTGGTTGTTGGTTCAACTGCATAAATAGGTTCATGTCTTGGAAAATATGACACATAAAATGAAGGAAAACATTTGGAGGAAGAAAGTGAGAGGGAACCTCGATTTCTAGAAGTCCAGGTTGGGCTTCGTACATGAAGGCTCTAATGGCTGAAATTTCGGACCATTGTATTTCGATCTTACTCTTTAGAGGTCCATCCAGGAATTCCCAAACCAATTTCTTCTTGGCGTAATAGAGTTTGGCTACCAGATCTCCTTCGTTTCTTGAAATCCTCTGCTCACAATTTCAACAAAAATATCCTTTGCTTTTTTTATTTCTTAATCGTTCAAAAAGATACAAAACATTGGGATTTATAAATATTAATGTTAACCTTAAGAACTTGTATATCATGTAGTATATATATAATAAATTAAATTGAAATTCTATTAATCAACATATTACAATATTTATTTATTTTATTATTTACTTTGTATTAATTAACATATTATATTATTAATAATTTGTTTTAAATATATTATGAAATGTTATAATTGACTAATTTTTTTTAATATGTCCATGTTTGTCATTTTGTATTGTTCAACTAGTTTTTGTCAAACATAATTAATTTATCGGCTAAATTCCCAACTAGTTTGTCAAATAAATCATTTATTATTTACATATAAATTTGAAATAACTTGTCAAGTATTGTTTTTATATAGTTTTTTAGTATGAAATAAAGATAAACTTGTGTATAAATACAAATTCTTACATATGCTTTTTTCACTAAAATAGCTATTTTGAAAAAGATGCATTTGCATCATCAGATAACCAACTTTTTCAATCTATTACAAAATAGTAGCAAATAGGCCTTGCAAACTCCTACACCTTTTTAGCTAATTGTACGATTTTTGATTATTTTATTAAGAAACCAAAGTATAAAAAACACTATTCCACACACAAATATTTTTCAAACTCTCCTTAATTTTAAAAGAGGGAGTTGGCAAAGTTAAGTGCATGACTATTTATTCTCTAGTACAAAAGTGCATGACTATTTATTCGGTAGTACACCCGTAAAATTTAGTTATTTTGTGATTATTCTTTTAAAAGTAACTATTATAGTTAGGGGTGTTTAAGATTGTTTATTTAAAATGTTTATTAATTTATTTTAGTATAATACTGGTAATAAGAAGTTTTTAATGTTTAGATGGAAAAAAAAAAAAGAATTACTTGACACTGGTAATAAAAAGTTTTGATAAGTTATCCCCTTCTAACTTATTGACTTATTTCGGTTTAGTCCTGATAATAAAGAGTTTTTTGTGTCTAATACCGTCGTAAACTAATCCAAACACTTTTTAAGAAACTCCAGTCTTACACCATGATAAATAATAAACATAAGTTGTTTTAAATATCCAATATTAATATTAAAGTATTTATTCAAATGTTAGGAGGGAAAAGGGAAAATGGACCTTCCAAGAGCCAATTTGCAACAGAGCAGCAGGGAAATTAGAAGCCTTCAACTTCTCTGTAATTGGAGTCTTAGTCTTCTTCTGTTGCCTTTCCTGAGACAACGTCATCTCTACCAGGTTGATCAGAGACGTCGACTTCCTTAAACTCAAACCAATTGGACTACCTCCCTGCAAACAAATACAATATATATATATATATATTTACGCACAAAATGTGTAATCAAATTGTTGACGACTGCATCGGTTACGTTACCTTCATCTGATTTTAATCAAATATAAATGATTCATTTGTCAAAGAGAATCGAAGAAATTTCAATTATTATTGGTGATTTATATCATATAATTTGCATGAAATTAAACAATTCATGATGATTGATAACTAAATCTTCTTGTTCAAACTGGAGATCATGATGATTGATAACTAAATCTTCTTGTTCAAACTGGAGATCATGATGATTAATATATTATTTCAACTCTCGCTGATGATTTAGGGGAAACGAGGTCAATTGATTGAAATTGTAATGAAAATTCTATATGTGTGATGTTTCTGCATGATAATAAATTATATACTCATGAATATCGATCATTTTTGCCGATTAGCTTAAATAAAATTTAGAAGAGATGTGTAGAAGGAACCTGTGGATGTAGATTAAGACTGTTGGAAGCAGTTTGATGATTGGAGATTTGATCGAAAGCTGAAACGACAATTTCTCCTTGGAATGTTTCAGAAGCAGAGAGCGTGAGAGACTCGTGATGATAATGATTATGAAGGAACTGTTGGTCACGATGATAATGGTTACTAATACTATACAGATTTTGATTACTATTATCACACCTCATTGATGAGAAAACAGAATTAACTGGTGGTTAATGATGACGATTTCCTTTTTCTGCAAAATAGAATTCAAAGGAAGGTGGATTCGTGGGGAGGAAAGGAAATGGAAACGGAGGGAGATTTATAAGGAGAATGTGGGTCCCAATTTACTCGTTTAGGACTCCTTAACATTTGTATTTATTTACAAGTAAAAAAAAGAAAAAAGAAAATAATGATGATGAAGAGGAAGAGGAAGAGTTGTGGGACACAAAATCTAATAAAATAGGAGGAGTGGAGTGGGCGGCTAAAAAAGGTTTCCAAACATCTCCAAAAGCCTTATTGATAAGGAATAAAATAGCTAATTTTGTTATTTCGTTTGCTTATTAATTAAGATTTATTTCTTAACAGGATTCATTTTATTAGAATCGGATAAGTTGATTAAGATTTTCTTCATATAAGTAATTTTATAAATCCAATGTTTTAGGCATTTTTTAATCAGATTATATTTAGCAAACTAGTTGATAAGTTAGCTGATGAACAAATCATGTTTGACAAAACTATCCGATAAAAATGTAACCATGATCAAAAAATGTATCTTCAAAAATTAATCATTGTAATATTTCAAAATATAATTGAAACAAATCTCTAATAATATAATATATTAACTAATACAAACAAGATGGTAAAAAGAATTTTGTCCTGAAATTCAATTAGTCAAATAACTGATGATATTTTATTCTCATATCAGATTCTAACACCTATGTGGCTTCTTGCCCCTTATGAAAACGTCGCTGAACTTTTACCAGACTAGTATCTTTATTTATCAACACTTTGGTCTTCCAGTCAGTGACGGCTTCTGGGGTTTCCACAAAACTCAATTTTTCATCAATCTGGATTTCAGGTAATGGTACAACCATATTTGGATCAGCCAAACACTTTCACAATTAGAAACATGGAAGGTGTTATGAATAGAGTTGAACTCCTCTGGTAGTTCTAATTGATACGCTACTTCACCAACCCGTTTATTGATTCTGAATGACCCAATGTACATCGGACTTAGTTTACCCCTTTTTCTGAAATGTACAATTCCCTTCCAAGGTGAAACTTTCAGCATTACATGATCTCCCACCTGAAATTCAATCGGCTTATGACGCTTATCGACATAACTCTTTTGTCGGTCCTGAGATGTTTTTATTCTTTCCCGAATTCGATCTATCTTTTCTGTTGTTAACTATACAATCTCTGAACCAACTAATTGTTTCTCCCCCACTTCATTCCAACATAACAACATTCAATATTTTCTGTCGTATAGGACTTTATAGGGCGCCGCTTGAACATTGGAATGATAACTGTTGTTATAGGAAAATTCGATCAATGGTAGATGATTTTCTCGTGAACCCCCAAAGTCAATGATACATGCTCACAACATATCTTCAAGGGTCTGTATCATTGCTCACTTTGCTCATCATTCTGTGAGTGATACGTGGTACTCAACCGATTTTGGGATCCCATTGCTTCCTAAAAGCTTCCTCTAAGTCTTGAGATAAACTGGATATCCCCATCTGAAATAATTGATAATGAAACACCATGTTAAGTCACAACCTCATCAATATATATTCTCGCAAGTCTTTCCAGTGGATGTCTCTTTAATCGATAGAAAGTATGCAAACTTGGTCAAATGATTCACAATCACCCAGATAGCATCATACCCTTTCGGAGTTTGTGGCAGCTTCATTATGAAATATACCTAATTCCTGAAAGCAAATCAAATGGCGCTTTAAAGTAATAACTCACCTTGTTTCACAAATAGATTGAAGACTTTAATCAGCAACAAATATCAGATAAGAAAACATAAGCTTTTCTTCCTCTTTTTTTGTTAACTCGAACCAGGAACCAAAATAGATTCAGCAACTTTCTCTCCTTACTCTTATCTTCAAGTGATAATTACACACACACACACACACACACACACACACATATATATATATATATATATACTAGGTTCGATCCTGTGTATTACACGGGGTAATATGAAAAAATTAAATCATATCAAGAACTTATCTCACAAATATTAATGATCATCGAAAGTACAATGCTACTTTAGACTTGTACTCTTGAAATAACTCTGAAATATATAACTCTGAAGAATGACTCTGAAAAATGACTCTTCAGACTTGAATTTAGAAATGAAATTATATCAATAATTAGTTAAAATGAAGTTAACCCTAGTATAAAATTAAATATGTTATTTTGAACAAATATAAACATATTTTAGGCAAAAAAAACCCTTTTATAGTCGGCATGTTAACCAACAAAACTCTTCTTACAGAACTCCATGACAATATCAGCAAGTGATAGATATTAAAAAAGAAGAGGCTGTGGATGTAATATATATTTTAAAATACCAAGTTTGAAAACACACCACTCAACTTTCAAATAAATTTTAAAAACACCACCAAACTTTCCTTAATAAACCCAATTATCACAAGTATTTTCAAACTCAAAAGCACTTGAATAAAGTGCGTGCACGATGGGCAAACTTTCTTGAAAAATTCAACTACGTGATCAAAATAAGCCCACAATCACAAACAAAGTAGCCAATGTACTAAGCTGAAGAACAATTTATGGTGACCGTTAACAACAAAGTGGTTAGATTTAATGTTTTGAAAGACTTGTACAAAGATGATGTTGATATCAAGCAAATATGGAAAGAGTTGGCTACCAAACAACATCGAGGGGACTTTTTAATTTTGGACGGTTACTTATTCAAGGTAATCGACTTTGTATCCACCGGACTTCACTTTGCGATCACTTGATCAAAGAACTACATGTCGGCGATCTAGGAGGGCATCTCGGGTGAGATAAGACGATCACCGCAGTCAAGGAGCGGTATTTTTGGCCGCAACTAAAGCGAGACGTGGGAAGTTATGTTCAACAGTACAAAGAGTGCCAAGAGGGAAAGGTCGGTTACAGAACACCAAGTTGTACACGCCTTTGCTGTTTCCTTTAGACCCGTGGGAGGATATTTCAATGGACTTCATATTGGGTCTACCCGAACCTAACGAGGAATGGATCTTGTTTTCATGGTAATGGATCGTTTCTCTAAGATGGTCCTCTTTATTCCGTGCAAAAAGACTTCAGATGTCGTTCTCATTGCAAAACTATTCTTTCAAGAAGTTGTCCGACTACACGAAGTCCCAACGTCCATCACCTCTGACCGTGATGGCAAATTTCTAGCACATTTTTGGTTAACCCTTTGGCAATGTTTTGGGACGAAGCATGATTTTTCTAGTACCGTACACCCCCAATTTGATGCCCAAACGGAAGTGGTTAATCGCACCCTCGGAAGTATGATTTGGTGCATTTATGGAGAAAATTGGGACTCAACTCTAGCTCAAGCCGAATTCGCGTATAATAGTGCAGTTCATAGCTCCACCTACGTTTCACCATTTTCGGTGGTTTATATAAGACCACTCTAAAGCACGTGGTAGATTTAGTTGATTTACCTGGAAAGGTTCACAATATCTCACTCAAGTTGGTTGAAGACATGCAAAAGACGCATGTCGAGGTCCAAAAATAGATTACTCAAGCAAATGTCAAGTACAAGTGACGGAGGACAAACACTATCGTGTCAAAACTTTCAAGGTAGGAGACGAGGTAATGGTTTATTTGTGTAAAGAACGGTTTCCTATTGTAAAGTATGCCAAACTTAGTCAAAAGAAATATGGTCCGTACAAGGAAAAGGAAAAGATGAACGATAATACATATGTCGTTGATCTTTTTTTTTTTTTTTTTGTAAGGGTGTTCGGGCCAAAGCCCGACTAATCCCCGGCAAATTTGGAGGCTAAACATGGCCCCACTTAAATGTCGCTGACACTCTACTCCTAGGGCTCGAACTCGGGTTCATGACTATGCCATTCCTAAGCCTTTACCACTAGGCTGGAAGGTCTTTGACTATGTCGTTGATCTTCCTAACACGATGACCATTTATAAAACTTTCAACGTATCTGACATCTACTAATATCACCCAATGAAAGATTTGGCTTATCTCGAGAACTCGTGGACAAGTTCTTTTCAAGAGAGGGGGAATTATAAGTTTGGCATACGTTACAATTAGAATTTATATTTTAGTTGGATTAGTCTTATTATAATTTATATTTTAGTTGGATTAGTCTTATTAGAATCAGATAAGGTATAGTCATTTCCTAGTTAATTAATATTTTCTTAGTATAAATAGTTTATTTTGTTATTTTGTTTCCTTATCAACTTCGGGATTTACCCTGTTTCCCTTCTGCGAAAATTCAAATTACACATTCTCGTCGTCATTTTCATATATTTTCTTGAAGGAATCTGGACATAATATTGTCCGGATTAGAGTATACCGGACCTAGAGTTGTTCAGATTGAGGATTATCCGATCATAGTATTGATTGGATAAGGTGTTAGTATTATTTGAAATGTTTAATCCGATTATGTGCCATCTGAATTGAGTTTTGGTGTTAACAAGTTTGTTTAAATTCATATGTTGTTCGGATTAGGTATTCGGCCAAGCTTGTCCGGACATGTGTTGTCCGGATAGCCTGTTGGATATCCATTTTTGGTTAAAAAATTTTTAAGTATAGGAATTTTTGGAATTTTTCACAATTTAACAATTATCGGGTTTAAATATGTTATTGTGAAAAGGGGTATTTTATATCTTTTAAAATGAAAAGATATGTTTCTACCAAGCGTGGTGACGTAAGTCTGTTTTGGTACGAAACTATATTTTGGGAAATGTTCCTACCAAGCGTGGTGACATAAGTTTGTTTTGGTATGGAACTGGATTTTGGGAAATGTTTCTACCAAACGTGGTGACGTATGTCTGTTTTGGTATGAAACATGTTTTAATAGGTAGTTCCCCAAGACGTGGTGACATTTGTCTGTTCTGGCTTGGAACTGGATGATGGGTACTTCCAGACGTGGTGACTTATGTCTGTTCTGGTAAGTAGCCCTGTTTTAATAGAGGAATAAGGGTGGCATATCAAGGAGATGTGTACCTTGGAATAAGGGAGGCATTCTCATATGTGAATATTATTATAACTCTTATTATTATTACTAATTAGATATAATAACTCT